GCCGGCATTAATCAATACCGACAATACCGAAAAAGCATGTCAAACAATTTTAAAAAATAAAAACTTGAACAAGCTTAACATAATAACATATTATCTAGTACTGTTAAAAGAGCTCATGAAAATGATATCATCTAGCATTAGTAGTGCATTCTAAACATGATTTTTAATTTTAAAAATTAGCTATGAATTTCTCTATAATGAAAGCTCCTATTAGTATGTCAATAAAGAAGCAATTTTATAAAAGAATGTTAAAAGAGAAAACATTTCATATGAACAGGTAAAAAATGTTTGAAATTATAAAATTAAATAATTCACCTGTCATAATCAAATTAAATATGCCTATGTCATAGAGGAGGTTGATCTCGCTTTTCAAAGAAATATACTTGGCTTCAGCGTAAAACAACAGCTGCTACTTCATATTCAACTCAACTGCCTCTGGGATCCATGGCACCATACCATGCTTTAACTCAAATCCTTATACATCCTTTAAAAAATACAATACCTAAAACAAACACTGACTAACAACCACCATTTCTCACTCGCAATCCATCAATCTCCGAGGTAAATCATCAATCTGCTCTTCCTAGCAATTACACAGATACAACACGAGCCTTGTACATGATTATATACGCCATATGCCAATCACCTGGAGACAGATGACAGAATTTTTTTTACGGGGTAAACATATAAACAAATTTGAAGTTTATTAAATAACGAATGCCTTTTGATTTCCTAATCATAAAAACTAAAAAGATAATAAATTTGTTAATCCTTGAGAGAGGAATTCAAGCTACAAAGATACAAATTAAGGATAATGCTGCTAGGTTGAAATTCGGAGAGGGAAGTAGGATGGAGGAAGAAGTAAATAATATGCATGTCCGTAAATTAATTATATGATATTCACCTCCTCCAGAGAGTCTAGTGATGTCGTCTTCCACTCTTGGTTTGGGATTGTCATCGTCAAACTCAATCCATTTCCCTGCCAACAACAAAATAAATATTGTTTGAAAGAGGCCAGGACAGATGGTTAGATACAAACACAATTCTATTTCCTAAAACCAACCATTCTCTTGCTTGACCCAACCAACATAATGTCCTGAATCAGCACTTCTACCCTTGTGGGTCAACACAGCAACCAAATCATAAATTCCAGTCATCTGTGTTTCCTTTTCACCTATAGACGGAGAATGATGAAACAAAGCAGAAAGAGAGTTAGTGTGTGTGCATAAGTGTGTTTGTATAAATTACTGGCAGCAGAAAATAAATGAGTAGCAGATCGTTGCAAGGTTTTACCCTCGTCCATGGGAACTACAGATGGCTCCCCATCAACGTTCGATGATCCCTGAATCAACAAAGAAGCAAAATACACAGAATTGTATTTATTTATGCTAACTGTAGTAGTACGTTAGAATATGCAAGGGGCGTTAAATGGACTGAAATCAACTGTAAGATCGATACATGAATCAATGTATTTCAACCAATAAGTTTATGTAAAAGAAAAATTAGATGAGTTTTAACTTGGGTCGTATATACATATCCTGCTAACCAATGTCTTTCTTTTACAAGAATATAATTAAAAAATCTTCTCAAAAAACTAAACAGTTCTGTAATTTTATTTGTAAAAGAAAAAGTTGTTTTTCACCCGCATATAGGAAAAAAAGAAAAGCATTACTTGTTTGATTTAGTTTTTTAAAACAGTTTTAGTAACCAATTTGAAAAACCGATTTTTAAAATAAGTTAGGAAAAAACTCGAAAACCGCTTTAGAAAGAAAATGAAGGAAGAATGGAAATAGAAGGAGGATTTTGTCTGGCAGCAATGGAGTCCGGTTGAGAAATGGAACAAGTGGTTGAGAAAACTAAAAACAGAAAACACAATCATTTTTTAGCTGTTAAAAACAGAAAAACTAAAACAGTAATAAAAAAGTTTAGCTTTAAAAAATAAAAAAACTGAACTGTTTTTAAAAACAGTACAGAAACAAGCCCTTGGTATTCCACGGAGAATGAAATCCCCGTCACAATATTCTATTTAGGAACAGAACTCAATTCTCCACTCCAAATTCTATTGCGGATCGATGGGATGAAATTACTACTCCATGATAAGCATGGAAATCATCGAAGGGAATCACAATCACTGCATATCAAAGATGATGTTAAGTTTGGCTGTTTCCTAACCTCAGCGTCGGCCATTTTCACATCATTTTCCTTCTGAGCAGAACTTGTATCATTCACTTTCAGACCAAGCTTTTTGCCTTCCTCGTTTCTTAGGATCTAAAGGTACAATATCCAAAATGTATAAACCCACACATTATAAGCAAGCATCTTTCTTCTTACAAACAACCATAAGATTTTCATATTTAAAGACAAAAAGGATACCTGTCTAGGAGCATCCAGTTTTTTACGAAGATCATCTGAACAAAAATCATAAACATCCAACTCCAGAGGATAATCCACTTTCTGAGATAACCAAGCACAAAGGCATAATAAAATAAATTTCAGAGCAAGCAAAATCTTTGAATGATAATTAGTCAAAACCCAACAATGACCATCAAAAAAGAAAAAACAAAAGGAGAAAATAGTGAATGTTACCCGTAAAATCTTAGCTTTCTGGTTGGATTCCCTCTTCCAAAAGAAACGGACAAACTGAACAGTCAAGTACCTTGAGAAGGCAAAAGTTGAAAAGTGCACCACTCAGCAATTACCAATGAAAAATTAAAATATGACAAAAAAAGCAACCGACCTTATCTGATGAACTACTAGGCCAGTATTTGAGAACCAACTTTGTAAAACGCAGACCAATATTTAACTATAACCCATGAGACAGATCATAAGTTATACAGTAGAATCTTAACAACTCTTTCAAACAAGGTCTCATGAGTCATTACTAGTATTGTTAGTTTAGACCATCCACACGCCCGTGGAATTAGAATGTACAGCCAAAATTAGGCTGACTCCTTTTCAATAGACTGAAGAAGGATGTCTTGGCACAGTCAATGCAGAAACCAAGCCTAAATAGTAATCTTATCTAGACTCTTTATGCAAGTTATACTATCAAAGATAGCTTGTACATGTATAGCTCAAAGTGTAATCCAACTGAAATCACGTGGCATCAAAGAAAACAGTATCCAAAAAATATCATTTGAAAAGGATAATATCAACCTTGGCAGGGAATTAATGCGTGATTCCTTCAAGTATGTAGCACTACGGCCCAAAGCAGGTGAAGCCTTTTCTAACTCAGATTTTAAACCCTACAAAAGTAAGCTAGGTTAGTAGAAGCTCACAAGTGTATTCATCATAGCAAACAATATTTAATAAGATTAAACAATATGATAGACCTAAATTAGTCAAACTATTGAATTTTCATTTAGCAGTACTTATATGAGGGGATGGAGAAAAAGCTAAGAATAATAGTAATTCTAAATTTGTAACCTGTGGCGATACCAATGGTTAATAATGTCAACATGTTACATATTAACCACTGCATGAAGATCATTGGTTAATAAACAGGAAAAAATTTACCAATAACTTCTTTATTGTTAATTTCCTTCTGGTTTGTGTGCGCATGCATGCACAAGCGTGCTACACTCATTTGAACCAACCTAAACCGTGGCTACTTCCCACTCCCAAAAAACTCAGTCCAAAACCAAGACCTTGGCAAACCAAAAAAATGTCTTTGCGGCAGGTAACAGTGCTAGAGATAAACTATAACATACTGGTTCTCAAGAGCCAATTATTTTTCAGCAGTAGAAGGAAACACAAGTTGCAGACCAAATAAGAAAATTATAAAGTAAACTTCCAGAGCAACATATCACTGAACTTTCACTGCATAATAGTTATACATGTGTCTCGGTGTAAAGACAAAGAGAAATGGCTTAGCACTTACATGTTTAATCCCTTCATGTAAATGGTTCACCTCCTGCGATATGTGGCATTTAAGTGAATAAACAGACTCTGATTCCGAGCTTTCTTCATTACTCTCTTGACAATGAATCCTAACATGTTATCCAAAAAAAAAATGGAAAACGACTATAAATTAACAGGATGCAATTTAAGGGGCACCAATTAGCATTTTAGTATATTTAAAAAAAAATGTGTACTGTTGTCTCTATTAATCCAAAAAAAGAGTGAACTGATCAGAGTGCACCACAAAGCAAGAACTACAATGTTACACATGTAAAAATCAATTTTTTTCCAGCCAAAAGACTCAGAGTCATGGACACATAAACTATAATACAAGTCCAAACCCTCGCTAGGTTACCACTTCAAATATGAAGGGGGAGGATCAAAATTGACGCACTCATGTACTGTAGTTCATATATAAATGTGCTTTAATTACCGTTGCAGCATGGCAACCGCAACTCAAAATTCTGATTTTCTACCATGTATATGTGTAATTAAAATACCTAAAATCATATTTATAACACACACACACGAGCTTCCACAGACTCAACTCTACAGTAGTCATTCCTTGAATAAAAATATTTAAAATTTCATTCATGAGTGCTTACTGATAATTTTTTTTAAAACTTGTTAAAAATTATATTATCATAAGAATTTTCTTAGTACATGTATCTGAGGAAATTTTACTAAGATTGAGTTAGAAAATTATTTTGTAAAATTAGGGTGGTAAAGAATAAAGAGCGACAATTTAAATGTTTTAATGTATTAAAGGAATTCAATTAACGTGTCAGAATACACACAATAACCTATTTTATTTTAAATGTGCAGAAGAAGTTGAAAAATAAATCTAAACATCATTATTAAAAAATAAAATAAAATAATATCATATAATTATTAAATTTCAAATATGGGTATATGATTAACACTTACAACTGAATCATTGAAACATTTTAACTGTAAGGTATTTAAGAAAAAGGAATCCGAATATGCATTAAATAAAATATACTTTGCTATTCTTGTAAAGATTTTATTTAACCAAACCATGCATAGTAGAAAAACTAGCTTCATTTGTAAGTTGATAATAAGCAGCTTTATCTTAATTCCTAGTTGCATCAAATTCAAAAACATTGTCGGCAAACAATTTCTTCATTAGCATAGTTATCACCCTCAGGTGTTAAATAAACGTTGCCTTTATTTTTGTATTCCATGAGCTACCAACTAATAGGTTTAATTTCTAAAAGTATGATAAGTGGATAATGTGCTTTCTCTGAGAAGTACCACTGATGCAATTTGCATACAAGAGGATGACAAAGGAAAAGAAATAGCAAAAGACAATAATTGACGAGATGACAATTGAAACCTGGCAACCTCAGAGGTTAGGATAAATATAAAAAGATTCATAAAGAAGATGACAATGAGACGTCCACAGGTTAAAATCAATAAAAGAAAGAAACTACTTGCTTTCTCATATATTCAAGGAAAGCCTGTCAGATCCCTAGATTCAAATAATACCAAGAACAATGCTACAAATGAGAAAAAAAAAATTAATCTAGAGTACTTTGTGGATGTAACTAACATATTGCACATTAGTAGCCAACAATTGAAGAGAAAGCATTGGAGTGTACCTGCTAATAAGTTCTATGCCAAAGATGGCCTTCACAGCATCAAGATTTTCACTGAAAACAAAATAAATTTTATTAGATTGAATTAACATTCTGAAATCAAAGAAGTGGATGAAAAATATTGAGTAATATATTATAAATCGGGAGAGTTCGACAGATCTAGTATGCCACAGTGAGAAGTACAGAAAATGGTTATCAATACCCACTGTTTAACAATTCATTTAAATCTGACACCTTTTTCTAAACAATAAGCATTAGTTGCAAGATACTGTCACAGTTGCAACAAGATACTGTCACAGTTGCATGCAGTTCCCAATAAACATGCACAGCGTTACCTAGATCCAGGGGATCTGAGGGACTGAGAGAGTGTGTATAGAAGTTGTGTCCAACATTCTTCAGCATCCTGTTAGACATGAAAAACAAATTGGGTAAGGTAAACCAATTCACTAGAGTGGTAAAACTAATTCCATAAGCTGGTATGCAACTTATAAACCTGTTGCATGAACACTCCATTATGCAGCTGACCAAATTGAGGATATTTTTTCCGCAATACCTGGCCATTCACCGTCCCCAAAAAAGGCATGAGGCAAGCTCAGAGCAGCAAACAAATATCAAAAGAATTATGAAAACATAGCTTTTTAATGTACAATGACAAAGAATAACTAGACAGCAGAAAAGCCCTAAAATAAAAGTAGCCAAAGATAAACATCAATAAATTCCTAAATCACATTCTAAAAGTGAAGACCCTCCACTTTGGATGGTAATTTCAAAAGGAAGTCATGAATATATTGACCACAAAAAATGGGCATACATAAACATTTCGATACAGAAACTAATATATACATCAACCAGCACTCCCAATTCTGCGTGCTACTGTAACATTTCAAAAAAAAATTGAAAAAAAAGGTCTTCTCACCCACAAACATGTTACAGAGATAAATAATTTTTTAAAGATGAACAATTAGTTATGTAATGAACACTATAAATATAATGTACCATCCAAAATTGCATTGGCGCCACAGGCTTGACACTTTTATCAAGCTCATTGAATAAGTCACGGGTTGCAATGGTCAACATATGAGAAGATGGATCCACGTCATTGTTTCGTTCTGAATGTGAGTACCTGATTCCAAGAAAGTTCATAAAATATTCATCATATTTCATTGTCTGCCTCAAAAATGCAACAAATAAAATGTAAATTCTTACTCCTTGAAAAAGACTTACTTAATCAAAGATGACTTTAACTCAGGCACAGAATGAAGGCATTGCAATGTTGAGTTCATATAACATGTATTTCCCAAATTGAAAAGACCAGCCGTGTGTCCCTGGGAAAATCAATCCATCACACAGGCCCCATCCACCCCCAGAGGAAAGAGGAAAAATAATCAAATGCTAAAACAAACAAAAAAATGAGTACGACTCAACCAAACTAAAGAAGAAAATAAACAAATAAAAGATGTTAAATTAAACATCCTTCACACAAGTGAAAACATGGCACAGCTGAAACTAGTCATTCAATGATAATAAATTAACTCCATCAGTGTTTCATCCTTTCAGGACTGAATTGCTGCTATTTTATAGATAAAAGTGATGGCAAAATGTGAAACCCAAGGACCAATTTTATATCACTAAACTCAGAATATCTCCTAAAAAGATTTCTGTAAAAAATAGTCATTCAATTATAATAACTCACTTAGTGTTTCATCCTTTCAAGATAAAATCACTGCCATTTTAAGAACCAGTGTGATGGGAAAATGTGAGACTTGAGTATCAACTTGATGCATGTTATCAAGAACCGATTTGATATTTTGTTTAAATGGATGACCAATGCAATGCCATGTATATCTTTAGAGGACCGGACATAGGAACCCAAGACCAATTGAACAAGAGATCAAACACAAGAATATCTTCAATCTATTGAACTTCTATTGAGAAATAAAACACAAAATATGACATTCAAGTACCACCTTGATTCAGTTATCAAGAACTGATATGATGTTTTGTTTAAATGGATGATCATGCAATGCCATGTATATCTTTAGAGGACCAGACATAAGAACCCAGACCAATTGAACAAGACCTGGATATCTTCAACCTAAACTTCTATTGAGAAAGAAAACACAAATTTGATATAGACAAGACAGTAAGGGTCCATTTAAGCTTTAAAAAATTGATTTTATGTCGACTTCCTTGCTCATAAGCTACTATTTTTAAGTTTCTGAGCTAATCCTCAAATTAAACAACTCAAAATGATACCTCATGCATTGTTTAACATGCTCAGGCTTCTCATCCATCTCCCAAGATGGTCCGTGGAAGAAAAATGTGATAGGTAAGAGATGAGAACCGTGCTGAATTGTTTCTTTTCAAATCAAATCACAGGGAAGGTTAGCTAGAGTTTTTAAGAGAAGAATAATAAAAATGAAGACAGAGGGGCTATTGTCGATCTGTTTCCCAGTTTCACGGTTGGGTTATTGGAAAGGATTGACTTTTAAATTTGAACTAAAGGAAAAAACTATTAGCCTTATGTGTTCTATAAATGACTGATAACACAAGGAAAAAATACAAGAGTAATATATTAAATATCAGTTAAGATACTTATAAATCATGTCCGTTACTTGAGAACTACCACTACTATAAAAATTACAAACACAGATATTTTGCAGTTCATCAACTAGGGCGTGTGTAAGAGTTCAAACTTACAACAGCAACTACTTGTTCTTCTTCAGGGAGATCTTCAACAAAAACAGTTCCCTTCTCTGGAGACTTCACTATTTCATCAGCTGTACCCATCATCATTAGCTTTTGACCCTGTAAACAGGAGATTTTGTGGATCGATTAAATGTAAGAAAACATGAAACGTAGAAGAACGGTATTGCAAAAACACATGCTAGCATTGCTAACCTCTTTCACTCCTAATGTTGACCAATCAGCGTCATCCTGCATTGCAAGATGAAATCAAAGGAAGAAAAAAGCTTCGAAACAACTTCATTCTTGGTTATTGTTAAGATCTTTTTAAAAGACCTACTAAGATTAGCCTAAGTTTTCTTTTTCTCATTACTTAAAGTAATCACTTCAACAATCTATTTACCTTCAAAAGACCACCCTTGACCATAATCTTTTGTCTTTCAGGAGGCACACCAGTCAAATCGTACAATTGGCATTTAAAGACGTAAGGAGACTGGGTAGTGTCAATTTCCACTTCTTTGAAAATCTCTTTTTGCCATTTTACATTTACTGCAGAGAAAAAATCAGTAGAGTATCAGAATGATAAAATCAGATAAAAGAAAACAGCAGTCCACAAGGCAGCACTGCAATATATCAGTTAACGGAACCCGAAATCGTACGGAAAACCAGGACTATCCGTTTATCGCTAGCATTCCATCAGCTTAACGATAACATCCGTTAAGAGATGTAAAACGAGGAAAACATCCATGCAGAGTGAAAAATATTTAAAACCAGCTACCCAGCGTAACTTCTTCACTGCTCCTATAGCATAGTTATACTTCAAAAGAAGTTGAATGCAGCTACCTCTCCATTTTCGAAAGTTCCAATAAACCAAAAAAAAAACATTTGAATATCGATAATAAGTCAGTAACAAAGTTCCCCGAACGAACCGCCAAACATGAAAGCAAATATAACACTGAATCATCCTAGCTTACACAGAACAGATTAATTTTAAGAAAAAAACCATAAATCAAGCTCAAAAGGCAACATCCCATCCGAATTCCAAATGAATGCAAATTCTTTATCTCTCTAACACAAACCCTAAATTACGAGCGCCGCATCTCTCTGAATTGGAAAACGCAGCAGAAATCGAAAAAAACAGCAGCATATAAAATTGGAAAAGAAGGCAACGAATGCACAGAGAAGAAAGGAACAGTGGCTTGCGGGAAATGGAAGAGAGAAACGGTGCGAGACCTGTAATCATGACTGCAGAAGGATCGAGGAGGGAAGAGAGAGTGAGATGAAGAAGAAGCAGAGAAGAGGTTGGCTTGAAGAAAGGGCAAAGGGAAAGGAATTGAGGCCTTTCTCTTGTTGGTGTTTGGGGGCTTATATTTGGGGCGAGAACACTCTCTGGCCCACTTCTTTTTGCTCCTGTTCGACGAACCTTACCCAACCCCACCAGACTCTTCTTAAATCAACCTTCCCAAAAACATTCACGAATTTTTAGTACCTCCTTAAAATACTTATTTTTATACAATTATTGTTAAAACTTAAAATTAATATCTTTTTAATATATACATTATGTTTTTACGTTTATAATTAATCAATTTACTTGTCACAAAAAGTTTATTTTTAATTATATCTTGTTTTCACCAAATTTGGCTGAGGTTTCTTCCAAGATTATAAGACTCTCTTATCGTCCTTTGTTAAAATTTTCAAGTTTAAAAAAAAATGGACTAATTAAACCTATTTATCGATTCAATAGAAGCCCAAAGAGATGAATTGAATAGGATCCTAAATAATGAGAGATATGTGAAAAACAGGTTTCATTACGTCTATTCTTAATCCTAAATAGAATGGACGTAGAAATCTATATGTAAACATAGTATCTATTTAGATACGCTCAAATGAACCCTATATAACCCCATTTCGGGATCGATGTAAGATTTATATGTAAAAGACTTTTATAGTTAAGTTAGCAAGAGTATATATAACTAATATATATTTTTAATAAAATTATTTTTATTAAAAATAGTTATAAAAATAAATAGTTTGTGTATTTATTTTTAAATAGTTTTATATTATAAATATTTATTTGAATTAAGAGAACAATTATTAAAAGGATAAAATATTTGATTTAATTTATAAAATAATTAAAGTTAGATAACGGGTAAAAATATAAATGTGATTATTTTAATTTAAAATAACGATTGCTTGAATTTGAAATATATATATACACGGGTTTGCTTGGGTATGTTGTTTATTGGTATATTTTAGTAATGTGTATCGAGTTTTAGTAGACAAAAATATTTTTATATATTATGGATTCTAAGTTTTAATATTAAAGGTATTTTAATAATTTTCATTCCCCCGACTCACCTCTCTCATTCCTCTGAACCTTTTTCTCTTCCATCTCTTTCACTCCAACATTTTCTCTGTCATCCCTATTGTAGTCCCAACCGAAAAAAATTAGAAACACTCATTTAATCCTAATCCACATTCCTCGCTTATCCAATTTGTTTCTCTCTTATCTCCATCCTCCCTCACATCCATACATAGCAACCCGCGACATCGCAATTTGTTGTTCTTGTTTTGTCGTTCATTTGTTTTTCGATTTAATAACAAAATTATTTATGAGGTTGATGTTGATTTTTTATTGAAAGGTTGTGTTATCTCTTTTCCCTTCTAGTTGTAATTGAATTTGTAAAAAAACTAAAGTCTACCATAATTTCAATAATTTCAAAACTAAAAAAAAAACAAGAAACCTCCCATGAAAAAAATGTTAGCATCAACCCATAAACCCATAATAGTTGCAAAGCATTTAGTTTCTTAATACCAATTTTGATAAAATCATAGAAATGAAAGGAATAGAAGTTAAACTATAAGTGTGATTGGTAACAAATTTATTAAGTTTAAAATCCAATTTGAAATTCAGTATGTTTTGTTTTTCTTAATTTCACTTCTGCATCAAATGATAAATCAGAATGACAACGTCACCAATACAAATCGTATAACATCGTTGTTTTTTGGCCTTTCACGTTGAATTATGAGGTCAACGTCATATCGAGAGATGTTAATTTGACGTCGAATTTTGAATTTAAAAAATTCGACGTTAATCAAATTGACATCGAATTTTGTTAATATTCGACGTTAAACAATTTTTTTGTTTTTTTTTAATTAATTGTAATCCTTTTTTACAACTCTACGAGACCTGAAAAGCAGAAAAACAACAAATTTCAGTTTTTGATATTTTATAAAGCATGAACTATGAACGTATAATATAGTATCAACAACAAAAAACAATAACAAACAAGTTCAATTAAACAACAACAACAAACAAATTCAACCAAATAACAACAACAAACAAGTTGAACAAAAAACAAGTTCAACAAATAAGTTTTTCAAAACGAAAATGAAAACTAACCTTCAAAAGGTAGGTTTGTCGGAATAAAGTGTTTCCAACAGTGAGAGAAAAAGCAGAATGCGCCTATGAAGGATAAAAACACGAAAATAGTCGGTCAAAACAAACGAAAATTATACATAAAGTAGTTAATTAACATGCACTTGTATAAAATGAAAGAAAGATTACATATGACGGTCGTCAAACTTCATTCAAGAAAAGTTTGAGAAGAGAAAAGGGTTTCGCGCGCTAAGATAAAGTGAATGAATTTTCAATCTCCCGTTCAAATTAAAAAGGGAAACTTTTGGCTGACAAATAATACGTTGAAGCTCCTACAAAATTCGACGTATTATATGTGATCTAAAAGAAAAAAGAAAACAAATTAAAAAGGGTTACTTTTTGGCTTTTGGCTGACAAATAATACGTCGAAGCCCTTACAGAATTCGACGTATTATTTGTTGTTTAAAAGAGAAATTAAAAAGGTGACTCTTTGGCTTCTGACAGACAAATATTACGTCGAACCCCTACATGATTCGACGTACTATTGGTGGTTTAAAAGAAAGAAGAAAGCTAATGACGCGCTGGTTTAAATAATTATCATCATAGAACGTCGAATTGAATGAGACTTCGACATTCTACAATTGCATTTATTTACAAAAATGCCACCAGTCATTTTTAGCGTTGGTTATTCAGTGTTTGGATGTTGAACGCATGACGTCATATGTGGTTTTTGCACTAGTCGTCATGTTTATATTGACCAAACAAGTTGGAGATGTGAATTGTTTAAAATAAACTTACATGATGTGATTTACTTTGGAATGTAATTTTTTTGTCCAACTGAAAGCTAAGAAGTTCATTATAACTAGTTTACTAATTTTTGGTTGGTTTTTAATTAGTTGGTATATTAATACAGTTCTTCTTAAAAAGTACTTAATATTTTGCAATCTGCTTAAATCTAGAAGATGTGTAATTTGTTATAATATTTTTATTATTTTTTTCAAAAATGAAATGAAAATATGCTTATCAATATGAAACATTCGAGAGGAAATGAGCAGTGGTCTCTTTTCTCAATAAGGGGCAGAGTTAACAACAATAATTTTTTCTGTTCACAACTCTCTTCAATAAATTTTTTTAATGTGTTTTGACGTTAGTTATATGTAAGAAGGTGAAAAGTATATTCCATTTTCTGGACAATAACTTATCCCTTCTGAAATCCCCTTTTCACGTAATGGTTTTTCTCTTCTGAAAAATATTTTCGGACAACTTAATAGTCAAAATATCAAATACCTTGACCTTAAAACTTATAATCCATAATATACGAGAGTATTTTTGTCTACTAAAACCCAGTACATATTGTTAAAATGTATCAACTAAAAAAAGAAGACCTTACCCATGTTAGCAAACCCCATATATATGTGAATAACATACAAAATAGTATGACTAAAATTTCTATTTAATCAAATTCATTTATCATTTTTCTAAAATATTTTCTCAATCTTCTTTTTAGATTGTTTACTTCATCCGTGGTTTATTTGAAAATCATAATACACTATATTGCTAAGTAGGTCACTAATTTATTTAAACTTATACTGATTTAATTAAAAAAGATTTAATATCTATTTTGGTTTATTATTCTTATTTGTTAGTTTTGTTAAAAGTAATTTTCTTATTTTTAAGTTGCTCAAATGGTTCCATCTCACTTTTGGTTGATGACATTTAAAACGCGTAATGTTTACCTTAGCCAATATTAAATTACTTGTCTAGTTTAAAAATATGTGGTCATGGTCATGTGACATTGGCAATATTAAAAGTTTTTATTTCACTTCTTATATTTTATTTTATTCTTAATAGATTTGATTCTTAATAGATTTGATTCTCATATTCTTCTCCCTAAACACATCACCACTTCTTATATTTTATTTTATTCTTAATAGATTTAACTCTCATATTCTTCTTGCTAAACACATCGCCCACCATCGCTGCTCGCACCTAAACCACCACAAAAAACCCCAAATAACATAACTCAAATCAAAATTCTACTCCCAAATCGCGAGATCAAAATCTATAGAGAAGAATCAAGATCTGAAACCCCAAATAATATAACCTAAATCAAAACCCTAGTCCCAAATTGCAAGATCAAAACCTGTAGAGAAGAATCAATAACAGAAACCCCAAATAACAAAATCCAAATCAAAAACCCTAGTTCCAAATCGCAAAATCAAAACATGTAGAAAATAATCAAGATAAAAAACCCTAAATAACAAAATTCAAATCAAAACCGTAGTCTCAAATCGCGAGATCAAAACATGTAGAGAAGAATCAAGAACAAAAACCCCAAATAACAGAACCCAAATCAAAATCCTAACCCCAAATCACGAGATCAAAAACTTGTAGAGAAGAATAAAGAACTGAAACCCCAAATAATAGAACCTAAATCAAAACCCTAGCCCCAAATTGCGAGATCAAAACCTGTAGTGAATAATCAAGAACATAAACCCCAAACAACAGAACCCAAAACAAAAACCCTAGTTCCAAATTGTGAGATAAAAACCTGTAGAAAATAATCAAGAACAAAATCCCCAAATAATAGAACCCAAATCAAAATCCTAGTCCTAAATCGTGAGATCAAAACCTGTAGAAAAGAATCAAGAACAAAACCCCAAATAACATAACTCAAATTCAACCCAGCCAATCATGACCCCTAACCAAAAAATAAGAAGACGAAACCTCCTACGTAGCCACCAAGATTCACGAGTTCGAACTGAAAAAAAGGAGAAGAAGAAAAATTTACAAAAACTAGAAAATAGAGAGGGGAAGAAGTTTCTAATAAGACTTTTACGATAATGAATTGAGGATTTAATTAAGGTAAATAAAGTTTAATTGTAATAGAGAGGGTTTAACTAAACCAATGACTTTTAAACTTGTCACTTCAATTGGGCTAATGTTGTCATTGCAAGACTAAACAGGTGAAAAACAAGAGCTTTGAACAAAACAAACAAATAAGAGAACCAAAATAAATAAGAGAACCAAAATAGGTATTAAACCTTTAAAAAATATTATTTAAAATTATGAGCAACCCTTTACATATGTTTAGATAAGAGCAAAACAAAGTAAAGAAGAAAGTAACACGAGTTACGAGTGTCCTGGGTAAGAAAAAGAAAAGAAGCCACCAGAAAAGAAAAAAGCAAAGAGCAACCAATTTATCATATGCAAGTTTGTGCATATAAACTACCTTAGAGAAAATATTTTATTCCTTATATATTAGATTGCCTCAATCGCTTATTTAAGCACCCATTGAAGTTTTTTACCCACCTTGTTGATGAAGAGATTATTTTTGTTAATGCTTGGAAGCTTCAAGAAAACTTGTGATCTATTCATTAGTAATTATCAGAAGAAGATTTCATTGAAGTTTTCCCACGTTAAAAGTTTGGGTACTGATTATTTTACATATTATTTACATAGGAATCATTTGACCCTAGTTTTACTCTTGCTATTTAATATTTTTACTATCTTTTCCAAAACTTTATTAAAGCCTAGTTAAAAGTTTTATTAGTGCTATAGAAATGGAAGACTATGGTGGTGTAGGAACCATAATAAATTACATTCTATAAATTATTCAATGTGAAATCTCACATGAAAGATTTGTTATTTTACAAATACCTATACGATTAGGTAGAAAAAAGATGTTAAAGCCGTGCATAAATCTGATAAATAAAAAATTATATAGCTTTAACTCCAAATCATTTATGAATTCAATCAATGCTTTAATGTGAAACTAAGCATACAAAAATTTACCTAAAAGCCTGCCTAACATTGATATTTCAGCATGGTTTTTAAAATCAAACACAAAGGGTTGGATTATCCTAAAAGAAATACCTCAACATATTACTTGTCTCAAAATTAAAGAGTCACATGCTATATGATTTAACATCAATGAAGATAAGAAAAAGAACTAGAAAAGGTAAGAAAAATAAAATAAAATTGTACATTAATTTTCAACTTTTAGTGATTTTTTATGGTTCCTATAAAAAGGAAACATTGTCATTCTCCTTTAGAAAACATAGTTAGTTTCATGTTGTGATATTAATAAAATCATCTTAAAAGTTAAAGTGATGATATTTATGAACTTATTTGAAATGTTTATGAATATTTTTATCATAGAAAAAGTGAGGTAAAATAAAAATCACCTTCTCCATAAACTAAAATATTTTTATGAATAATATAATTTCATTTTTATTCTTATTGTACTTAAAAAATTGTATATGAAAAAGTTTTTTCTAAGAAAACTTTACTTTTTTTTATTTATTATTGTTTGAAGGACATGTGCATAGATTATATTTAATATTTGGATCAAGTAAATATTCTTTTATGTGTATAAAGATATTTTTTAGTAAATATATATTTTTTAAAAGATAAATTTATACTTTACAAAATTATTTTGACTGCATAACTTTTTTTAATTTTTTTTATCTTAACTCATATAAATCATCAAATCCCCTTAACTGAGTTGAAATGACAGGTGGAGTGAGGCAAAGTAACAATCTAATTATTATATACCACACATTTTAATTATATATATTTGTTATTTTTATTGTAACCATTTTGTTCTCAACATTTTATTTCCACTAAACTTTCTTCCTTTGTTCATCATGATTGAAGACCATATTTTTCCATAACATCTTCATTTTTTTTTATCTTTTCCTCTCTTTTGACACTAACAACCCAAAATCACAAAATCAATAAAACTAACAATGATATTTATAAATTCAAATTATCTTTTAAAGCTAAAAAAATAGACTTGCTGTTTACAAGAAAAAAAAAGCTCCATCATCTAATTGGAAAAATTGAACTAAATCTCACTCTTTAAAGTTAATATGAGTTTGTTCTGGTTGAAGTTAAATCGAAAAAAAAAAATTTGAACAAGAGTGATTAAGACACAGATTATTTTTTTTTTGGAAAAGCAATAACTATGAAAAAAAGGGAAAATATAATTTTTGAAGGAACAATTCAAGAGATTTAAGAGAAAAAATGAGGGAAAAAATATTTTCAGTATTTTTTTTTCATTTAACAGCTAAATACTATATTTTTCCACTAAAGATAATTTTAAGAAATTTCATGTTACATTAATTATCCATACATATGACTTCTACTTTGGTAGTTTTCTTTTATTTTTATTCCATAAAAATGCAATAATATACAATCTTCATAATTACAATGAAAGATGCAAGCAAGTGAAATTTTGCCTCCCGAAAGCAAATTAGGGTAAAAGAAAAAAAAATCCAAGTGATATAGAAAATTTGAAAATATAGATAATTCTATTATTATTTATTGTTGTGGTATTTTCAATTTTTTATAGCATAGTGGTGCGTTCCATCATCATCATAACAGACATCTCGGAGGGAGGCGAAACAACGCAACCGGCAATCCCGACATGTACGGCGGCGCCTCCTCCAAGCTCGGCCGCGGCGGCTCCAACCGCCGCTCCTTCCCTCCTCCTCCGGCGCCTCAGCGTTCATCCGCTCCAGGAGGCCGCCTCTCCCTCGGCTCATCCTCCCGCAACGCCGCGAAGGAGACGGCATCGACGGCAGCGGTGGAGGAGACTTTCAGCCTGACCTCTGGCAGCAACCCGCTTGCATTCTCGATGATCATACGGCTTGCACCCGACCTCGTGGAGGAGATCAGGCGCGTGGAGTCACAGGGCGGCACTGCGCGTATGAAGTTCGGCCCCAATCCTCACAGCGGAAACGTAACGCTTTGCGCTCTACTTGTTTGGTTTTCAGCATTCGACTGGTTATTGCATCGAATCGAACTTTAAAGTGTTTGTTTATTTTTTGTTGGCTGTTAGTTATGCTCATTTAAGTTTATTCGGAGTAAAAAGGCAAACGTTATGAAGAGTAATGGCAATATAGACTAGGGTAACCGCGTATTCATAATTCAAAACAGAATTTGAATTTGAAATTATACGTCTATGCTTATTGTGAAATGTATGCATACTGTGAAGTTTTGTGAAATTCATTCATGGAAATTGAATTTTACTGATTTTAAACCTGTATCATCATTACTTCATTTTGAATAGTGTTGTAATGATAGTGCTATTAGGAAGTCGGAGGGTCTGTTTGTTTAATTGTGTATTTGTGTTCCTAATTTGCTACAGTTTGCAATGACATATGCTAAATGACCGACTTTTAAACTTACCAATGTTGTTTCTATTCGAGAGTGAAATCAGGTTACTTTTGTCTTCTGTTTCTGTGCTTTTGGGTTTTTGTCAAGCGATTTCTGATTAGTAGTTTGGAATGAATGTTTTATTTGTGCCAGATTATAGATGTTGGTGGGAAGGAGTACAGGTTTACGTGGTCAAGGGAATTGGGTGACCTCTGTGATATTTACGAAGAGCGTAGGAGTGGCGAAGATGGTAATGGTTTGCTTGTTGAATCTGGGTGTGCCTGGCGCAAACTGAATGTGCAGCGTATCTTGGATGAGTCGACGAAGAATCATGTCAAAAGGCGGTCAGAGGAAGCTGAACGCAAAATGAAGTCTCGCAAGTATGTAGCCATAATTGGGGATATTCCTTACTCTTTACCTCATGAACTTCGTATTATGCACTTAACCTTTGAAAACCTTGTCTTTTCAGTGATCTTTCATATTTTTCTTATTAATTTGTTATTGTTGCATTTCATTTGCATTTATAAGAAACTGCACATGACACTTATGCTCAAAAAGAATAATATGTTTGTTCTATGGTATCGTATTTTCAGAATTTGAAGGTATGCAATACAAGTCAATTGATATATAGGTTTTGGTTCTCTAAAGTCAGCAATTCACTTTTTAGTGTAAAGTAAGCAATATCAGTTATTGGTGGTAAATTAGTGGTTGTTGTTAGAGCCTCATGCATGATTAATCATGTGTCACTCTTACTCATTAGAGGGTCCAAGTCCAAATTTCAAACAACCACTAGGGTAATAATATTGAGGCTAGAGTTTTGAGCTTTTTTTGCTTAGTTTTTTGTAAGTCTTATCTATGCTTGCTACACCTTTTATTTCTTTCATATTTCTATTGCTATTTATTTAATAAAAGGAACTCGTATGATGAGTTATGGGCTTTGATTGTAGATGTTATTGAATTAGGTTTGGACTTAACTTGATCCTAAAATTTAGTTCATGAAGCAAGAATTGCTCAACCCTTTATAAGGGGATATAAGGCTGACTCTGAGCTAAAAGTGGAAGAGAGGGAGGGATAGGTTGTAGGTTTGAGTCCTTCCGCTAACTAAAACTAACATTAATATCTACTGTCTGCTGATAAAATAACTCAAGCATTTATAAGCTCTACAGTGTTTATAAATATCCATTACAACAACGTTGTAGGGCTATTGCATTAGGGATTCCTTGGATCCAAATTTATGATTCTGTTTGCTATTGTGGCTGTCATGGTCGTTGTGATTTTGGCATGCAACCTGCATTCTCTTGTCATCACCAGCGAGTCTTCAGGCATTTGAACTGTTGATATAATATCAATAATTTTTTGATTCATTTTATTTTTATTTGTGTACAACATGATTTTTTTATACATATGTAATTGATATTTATCATATATTTGAACCACTGTGACTTCCACTCTAATGCGAGGCTATTTGCTATGTGGTATAGTAGATTATTGGCTTTTTTCCATTTTGTGTGCTCTGCAATACCCGTGAGTCAACTATAATAGAGGTGAGATCTCGACACACGCATGCCTCATTTGGATTAGAATTTTGACATCTAAAGTGTGAAGATTTATTGCACCAGGTGACAAAGTAGATTGCACTAATAAAGCTGCAGGGCTAAGTAGATTTTTTTTAATATTGCCCGACTAAATCTGTCTGGTTAGGTAGAACTTTTGACCCACTATCATATCTGTGATAGACTGTGGTACCATCTTGAATTTGGTTAGGTCTTACTCAACCTTAAAACCAAGTGTGGTGAGAATTGCCCTATCCTTTACAAGTTCTACATTGTAAATATCTATAGCGGATTGAATTTGTATTATAGGCAAACAATATATGTGAGCATAGGGGGAACAGATTCTGTTTCAGTTTGGTATTTACCATACAGCAGTTCAATTGTCTTGCAGCGCTCAGTTTGGTGGAGCTTCTAAATAATTTGTTGAACGGGAGCTTGAACCAAAATAATAGGGGTGAGGGAGGAAGAGTAATATAATTGTAGGGGTTGGACTGACTTTTGAGAGTCTTGAATCCCTGGAGTTTAGAGATGCTTNTTCCACTAAACTTTCTTCCTTTGTTCATCATGATTGAAGACCATATTTTTCCATAACATCTTCATTTTTTTTTATCTTTTCCTCTCTTTTGACACTAACAACCCAAAATCACAAAATCAATAAAACTAACAATGATATTTATAAATTCAAATTATCTTTTAAAGCTAAAAAAATAGACTTGCTGTTTACAAGAAAAAAAAAGCTCCATCATCTAATTGGAAAAATTGAACTAAATCTCACTCTTTAAAGTTAATATGAGTTTGTTCTGGTTGAAGTTAAATCGAAAAAAAAAAATTTGAACAAGAGTGATTAAGACACAGATTATTTTTTTTTTGGAAAAGCAATAACTATGAAAAAAAGGGAAAATATAATTTTTGAAGGAACAATTTAAGAGATTTAAGAGAAAAAATGAGGGAAAAAATATTTTCAGTATTTTTTTTTCATTTAACAGCTAAATACTATATTTTTCCACTAAAGATAATTTTAAGAAATTTCATGTTACATTAATTATCCATACATATGACTTCTACTTTGGTAGTTTTCTTTTATTTTTATTCCATAAAAATGCAATAATATACAATCTTCATAATTACAATGAAAGATGCAAGCAAGTGAAATTTTGCCTCCCGAAAGCAAATTAGGGTAAAAGAAAAAAAAATCCAAGTGATATAGAAAATTTGAAAATATAGATAATTCTATTATTATTTATTGTTGTGGTATTTTCAATTTTTTATAGCATAGTGGTGCGTTCCATCATCATCATAACAGACATCTCGGAGGGAGGCGAAACAACGCAACCGGCAATCCCGACATGTACGGCGGCGCCTCCTCCAAGCTCGGCCGCGGCGGCTCCAACCGCCGCTCCTTCCCTCCTCCTCCGGCGCCTCAGCGTTCATCCGCTCCAGGAGGCCGCCTCTCCCTCGGCTCATCCTCCCGCAACGCCGCGAAGGAGACGGCATCGACGGCAGCGGTGGAGGAGACTTTCAGCCTGACCTCTGGCAGCAACCCGCTTGCATTCTCGATGATCATACGGCTTGCACCCGACCTCGTGGAGGAGATCAGGCGCGTGGAGTCACAGGGCGGCACTGCGCGTATGAAGTTCGGCCCCAATCCTCACAGCGGAAACGTAACGCTTTGCGTTCTACTTGTTTGGTTTTCAGCATTCGACTGGTTATTGCATCGAATCGAACTTTAAAGTGTTTGTTTATTTTTTGTTGGCTGTTAGTTATGCTCATTTAAGTTTATTCGGAGTAAAAAGGCAAACGTTATGAAGAGTAATGGCAATATAGACTAGGGTAACCGCGTATTCATAATTCAAAACAGAATTTGAATTTGAAATTATACGTCTATGCTTATTGTGAAATGTATGCATACTGTGAAGTTTTGTGAAATTCATTCATGGAAATTGAATTTTACTGATTTTAAACCTGTATCATCATTACTTCATTTTGAATAGTGTTGTAATGATAGTGCTATTAGGAAGTCGGAGGGTCTGTTTGTTTAATTGTGTATTTGTGTTCCTAATTTGCTACAGTTTGCAATGACATATGCTAAATGACCGACTTTTAAACTTACCAATGTTGTTTCTATTCGAGAGTGAAATCAGGTTACTTTTGTCTTCTGTTTCTGTGCTTTTGGGTTTTTGTCAAGCGATTTCTGATTAGTAGTTTGGAATGAATGTTTTATTTGTGCCAGATTATAGATGTTGGTGGGAAGGAGTACAGGTTTACGTGGTCAAGGGAATTGGGTGACCTCTGTGATATTTACGAAGAGCGTAGGAGTGGCGAAGATGGTAATGGTTTGCTTGTTGAATCTGGGTGTGCCTGGCGCAAACTGAATGTGCAGCGTATCTTGGATGAGTCGACTAAGAATCATGTCAAAAGGCGGTCAGAGGAAGCTGAACGCAAAATGAAGTCTCGCAAGTATGTAGCCATAATTGGGGATATTCCTTACTCTTTACCTCATGAACTTCGTATTATGCACTTAACCTTTGAAAACCTTGTCTTTTCAGTGATCTTTCATATTTTTCTTATTAATTTGTTATTGTTGCATTTCATTTGCATTTATAAGAAACTGCACATGACACTTATGCTCAAAAAGAATAATATGTTTGTTCTATGGTATCGTATTTTCAGAATTTGAAGGTATGCAATACAAGTCAATTGATATATAGGTTTTGGTTCTCTAAAGTCAGCAATTCACTTTTTAGTGTAAAGTAAGCAATATCAGTTATTGGTGGTAAATTAGTGGTTGTTGTTAGAGCCTCATGCATGATTAATCATGTGTCACTCTTACTCATTAGAGGGTCCAAGTCCAAATTTCAAACAACCACTAGGGTAATAATATTGAGGCTAGAGTTTTGAGCTTTTTTTGCTTAGTTTTTTGTAAGTCTTATCTATGCTTGCTACACCTTTTATTTCTTTCATATTTCTATTGCTATTTATTTAATAAAAGGAACTCGTATGATGAGTTATGGGCTTTGATTGTAGATGTTATTGAATTAGGTTTGGACTTAACTTGATCCTAAAATTTAGTTCATGAAGCAAGAATTGCTCAACCCTTTATAAGGGGATATAAGGCTGACTCTGAGCTAAAAGTGGAAGAGAGGGAGGGATAGGTTGTAGGTTTGAGTCCTTCCGCTAACTAAAACTAACATTAATATCTACTGTCTGCTGATAAAATAACTCAAGCATTTATAAGCTCTACAGTGTTTATAAATATCCATTACAACAACGTTGTAGGGCTATTGCATTAGGGATTCCTTGGATCCAAATTTATGATTCTGTTTGCTATT